AGGCGGTGTATACTTCCAGATGGAGCGATTATGTTGCTACTAATTACAAATGTTGAGCAACTATTTTGTTTTTCCCCTACTTAACGGATTTTCTCTGGAAAGGAAAGGTTAAAAGATACAAGAAAAATTATAAATGGAAGACTACATTGTGTGAGTCCCCGACAAAGATCCATGAAGAGGAGAGGACAATCTCTCTTTAAAAGCCTAGTCTGGAAGGAACATGTATGAGAAAAGCGCAGAAATGAAGGAGATTAGGGAATAGGGATCAGGGGGTAGGGGAAGGAGGGGATTCTGTTCTCCTTGCCCTGTACACGTTTTGGGGACTGGGTAAAAATCAGAACAGAATGTTATGTAATATAGCCTGTAAAGGAAAGTAGGATGAACAAACTGATTTCATGACTCAAGTGGACTTGTAATTAGGCACAAATCATCTCCACGGACTAATAAAAGCTAGAATATGAATGTATCTTCTGTATGTCAATGGCTTCAGAGCTTCTCAAACCAAACCAGCCTTTGATAAATCAAGACTCTTTTCAACCTAGATGGATACGATCTCTTAAAAGCAACCTAGGAAGTTTGGGTCTCTCACCAGATGATCTACTGTATATAGATCATGTGTATGGTTCACGAGCTGCACAGTGGCAGAGAAAAAGGCAATTCAAAGGGTGATTAAGACGGCCCAAAACATGATTGGCCGTTCACTCCTCTCTTTGGAAGAATTGTATAAGGACAGATGTAAGAGGAAGATATCTAACATACTGAAAGATTCCTCTCATCCGGGACATCAGCTCTTTAAACTATTACCATCGAGAAGGAGATTCAGGGTATTGAAAGCAAGGACAAGCAGATTCAAGAACAGCTTCTACCCAAGTGCAGTATTGAGTTTAAATGCGGGGTCATAAGTTTTTGGTGGAATTTTAATTGCTGGGAGAAACGGGGTATCTATATTTGTATGGTGAGTGTTGTGTATATTTTAACTTTTTTTGTAGTGGTGTTGTCCAGTTTTACCTTGGGGAAGAGCACCTCATTTCGTTGCACCCACTTGTGAGTGCAATGACAAATAAATTTCTTATGTCTTATGTCTTATGTCTTACTGGTTCAGAATATTACACAGGTGAAAGGGTTCAGGATATACAGCATCAATGTCATATAGCACAATCTCCTCTTTTTAGGTCCTCTACTGAGGCCAGGTATGTCATGAGAATGGCTCGGTATATTTCAGAGCTGGAAGAGCCCACCTATAAGAGAACTTTCACTTTGGCTCGCTGCTCAGCTATCCTGTCAAAGGTTCTTGAAGGAAGATATAGGATGATTCCTTATGAGGACAGACGCTGCCCATGCTCTCAAGGGGAGGACTATATTCCACTACTAATTCTGTTCTAGAAATTTGTATTCCAAAAAAAAAAAAAAAAGCTTGGAGTGGTAACTTCTGAGTAGAAGCCAATTTCATCTGCCTGCTGTGAAGGTCTCAATGGGAGTAATTCAACAAGCCACACAAAATTCAAAGTTGCCACATTCAGGTATCTCCCTCATTCTGGAAAATAACTTCCAAATAGGGCAGACCTACTAAATAGATTGTAAGGAGCGACAAATCACCCACAGGAACCACATGTGCTTTTTTTCCCCTGGGCTGGAAGTCTGCCTTCTGTACAGCATCCCGAAATAGCAACTTTTGAGGACATTGCAGGAAACATACTCATCGGTCAACATGACGGAATAGGAGCAGCATAAGAAGTTACAGAACTTCCACAGATACACATTGCAGGCCAGAGATTCTATATAGTTGGAAGATACAGTAACAGTTATTTAGTCCAAATTTTTGCTGACTCAAAAAAATCCACTGCTAGAGTGTTCTTGATGCAAGACCATGCAACATGTGTTTAAAAACTTACAATATAAGACAGCTTACCACCCTCTGGCTCTCCATCATTCCATCATCTAACTACTCTTAACATCTGGAAGTTCTCCCTATTGTTGAGTCTTAATCTCCCTTTTTCTAATTTGCACCCATTGGTTCAATCCCAATCCTCTGTGCTATTTGCTACAAAATGAAATTGCCACCATTTGTATTTCTATAGTCCTTGGAGCTTTACCCTTATTCTGTAGCATTGACACCCCAATTTTTGATGCAGGCCAATATCCCAATGCCCCACTGGCTCTATCAAAGTCAAGGAGGTTCCTCCTGGCTGTCTTGTATACCCTAAGAGTAGCAGGTGCAACTGAGTTTAGTACCCTCCCCCGAATTATGAATCCTCACGCAGATCCCTTAGCTCCATTGGGAATGGGTCTGTGACCAACCTGTAGAACCTGTCTTCCTGGAACCAATACAACACATTAGCAATTTCATTATTGACTCCTGGTATATGTTGTGCTGAGAATGAGGTGTTAGCTTTGAGACAAGTAAGTAGAAATGTTCTTACCAGCCTCATGACCCTCTTGGACTGTGCAGTTTGCCTCTTAATTACCCAGGCAACTGCCATGTTGTCATACAGAAAATTGACTTTTTGGTCTTTTAAGATGTCTCTCCAAATGCACGTATCAACCATTATGGGAAAGAAGTCCAGAAAGGTGAGATCCCTGCAAATTGTTCCTCTGATCCATTATTCTGGCCACTTCTGCACACACCAATGATCATTCAGGTATGCGCCAAATCAGCAGCTCCCACTGGCCTAGATTGCATCTGATTGGAACTGCAACATCTTCCCACAGTCCATATTGGTCTACCAAACAGATATGTCATTGTAGTGCTCCAGTGATAAAGAATAGTAGACATATGACCTCCAGTTCATGCAGGCACCTAGTAAATATCTCATATGGCTTCAATATTAGAATCAGAGGCAGATCTGGATTCTTCATTGGCCACAACATATTTAGTGTTTCAGTATACCAGAATATGTTTTCTTTATCTTAGGGAAGAACAAATGGTACTAGTCCCAACATTTAACCTGGCACAGTTGTAGTGTGTCCTTCATAGGTTTCTTGCATAGGTTACCCTATAAGGATAAAGTTGAAGATGAAGTGTACTCTTGATTGGTGAAGACAGAAACTCAATCAAAGATGGTGCTCCTGGTGGTGAATTTCTAGAAACAAGAGTACAGTATTTAATTTTTTTATCTCTCCTCCCCAGCTCTTTGCTTCCTTGTTGTCTCATGTGGTCTTTGAGTTAAAGCTGACCATCGAAGATACGTTCTTTGCAAGAAAAGTACAGATATAATCCATTGGCGTACAGGGACCATGTTTGTTAGGAAAGGGGCAAGTGAGCCACTGCACGACACATGTACAAAGATACAGACAAAACTTCACAGCTGTGAGAGTCCTCCTGAAATGGCAGATCAAGTGGAGCATGAACGAGCCCTTCTGACCAGTTCATTGGTGAATCTGACTGCATCTCAGCAAATGTTTGCACCATTCATTCCAAAGTTGGGAATATTTGTTATGTGCCCATATAATTCCATGGACTACATGATAAAGGGACTGTTAATATTTGTAACAGCCCCCAGATTATTTCAAGTGATTATGAAGCCCTCAGTGACAGTGTCAACTAGCCAGTTTTGGTCCAAAAGAGACTTAATGTCATCTGTATTTATGTGGATTCCTTCAGTGGTTGATTTTTTTATGCATGGTTAGCCAGTAAGAGGTTGCTAAGGCATGTGAACATGTGTTCCTGTAGGTTTTTTTCTGATGGGGTTTCTCAGGAATATTTGTACAATGTGGACATTATTATTCAAAACCTGAGATAAGAGAATATAAATGACCTACTTTGCCAACATCTTTATTTTGATTTGTCTCCCTTCACTGTTGTTTTTGTTGTTGTGTGGCATCTTCCATTTGAGTCATCTTGAATCAGAAGGGAATCTGATACAGCTAAGATGGTTAGATCATCCTTTTATCTCAGTTTCTTCAACGTCTCTCTTTTCATCCATTTATCCTTAGCTTCTTAATAAAATACATCATCTTCATCTAAAGCACACATTTTCCAACAGACATCTGTGCTGCCATTATATGATAGCATGTTCTCAAAGTGTTACAAGAACATGTCTCTACTGGGAATAATTTTACAACATATTCTTTCTCACATAGTCGTCTGATTAGGAAACAGCCTGACTGTGCTTGTAAAAATATGTCGTTTTGTTGCACTATTAGATCTGTTTGGCTTTCTATGGTCTTTGATTCATGATATCTTCTATGAAGTTCAGCTGCAAATTCTGACCTCATCTTGCTGTGTTTTATGAAATGGACAATCTCATATAAAGGAACAACGTCTGTAGTATCAGAGTTTAGTTTTCTGCAATTATGTAGTTCTAGAAGGTAGTAGCTTCCTATGTCTGTAGTATCAGAGTTTAGTTTTCTGCATAGTTCTATGAGGTAGTAGCTTCCTATTCCACACGTGCCTCTCAGAATTTCTTTTTTTTTTAGGTAAAATGTCTGAAGTAAATAAAATGGCAGTACCATTTATTTCATCTATGGTCAGTTCCTTCTCATTACACAGCCTCTTGAATACGGCATTTATGCTTTCAGACACATTTGTTATAATCCCACTAGTTTCTGTATAGATGCTTCTCTTTCCCCAAGAGTCATCTCTCACAGCTAGTAACAATAACTCTCCTCAGCCTTTCATCGAAGTAGCAGAGGAAAGCTGCACTCCACCTCTCTTTTAGTTTCCCTAGTAATTTCACAAACTCATCTTCATCCTTGCTATCTCGGAGCTGAATAATATTGTTGGTATAAACTTTCCAATCAGCTTTCCCTCCTCTCTGTGCTGAGATCTAGAATTCTACATCCTTATAAATTATGATTCCAGCAAAGGAAATGAGTTCAGCCTGGAATGGTGGCTTCTATAGCATACACAGCTACTTCCCTGTCTGTGACTGTCAGAGTGGAAACGTTGCTGATTTGGGCCACATTTTTTTTAAATAAAGGACAGAAACAGCTCATGTACATTTATTGTGCTCTTAAATTTTGCATGCTTTTTTTTTAAATAAAGGACAGAAACAGCTTGTGTATATTTATTGTGCTCTTAAATTTTGCCTGTCTCCCCTCTCTTTTTTTTTGGCTTTTGACACTACAGTTTGGGCGGTATGTACATGAAAACTCATCAGATTTTTTTCCTCATATTTTTGTGAGGTATGGATAGTTCAGTTCTGTCATCCTTCCCAGAACAGTGGCCAAATACTTTGCCCATCTTTCCTTCAGGTGCTTCCTATAAATTTCTACAAATATCATTTGTTCTGGATTAATCAGCCAACACATTCCTTATCTGAAGATACTTCCTTGGAAGCAAGTGAGGATTCCTTGCACTGCCTGCTGAGGGACTCGGTTTGCAACCCAGTGAGCAGGGATGCAGGTAGGCCCGAGAAGGGGAACTTCTCCCTCACAGGAGCCTTAGCACCGGAGGACTTCCAAGCTAATCATGGCCTGCCAGCAGTGCTTCAGGGAGGGGTGCCCAGCCAGGTTGGGCTGATCGGCCTGGTGGTGAGCCGCTTGGTGGCCGTGGTGGAGGCCTCCTGGGCTACATGGAAACCTGGACTATCTCGATTATCAGCTCTGTGGTAGAACAGCTTCATGGCAGTGTAGCAGCTTGGGCAATGATCCTGACATTCAGCTGACTAGTGGATCAGCTGATTGGTGGCAACAGGCAGCTTCCTGTCATCAGTGCAAAGGTGGATGTGAGACCATGACACAGGCAGCAGTGGCAGCATATATACCTGCATTTTTGTATGTGTTAAGTAAAAAACCAGAAAAGGGGAAGGGATCATCTAGGGCAGGGGTGTCCAACCTTTCACCTTCCCTGGGCCACATTAGAAGATGAAAATTTGGTTTGGGCTGCACATACATTTGGTTTGGGCCGCATGGGGGGTGCACCCCTAGCCGTCCTCCACAGACCCGCTCCAAGCGTGCTTACCGGCAGCTGCGATCTGAGACAGCAGAGGCTGCCAGCTTCAACTCCAGCGGCTTTATGGGGCCGGGAGGGGGTCTACCTATTGACAGGGATGGCGTAATGCAGTCACACAGCCCCCCTCTCCCCTCCCTTCCCGCTCCTTCCTTCCCTCTCTCCCCCTCTACTGTTGTGACATGCCCTGACCACATTCTGGCCGCAAGCGCTGGCAGTGTAACTTGAAACTTTGGAATTTCTTTAAAAATAAAAAATTGCACTGGGCCTCATTACAAGCTGACCTGGGCCGCATGCAGCTCTCGGGCCGCAGGTTGGACAAGCCTGATCTAGGGTATGAAGGTATAGACTGGTTGGATGAGTCAACCAACACCCACACTCCTGGGAAGTATTGTTCACAGATTACCCACTCATTGGGTAGCACAATGGGTTTCATAGAACAACACACTTAACAAAAATGAAAGATAGAAAAAAGAGGGGGAAGAGGAGCACATCAATAGCACAAGAGCCCACCAGATAGACTACACCCTTTGTTACAAGCGGAAAAGGGAAGCAGTTTGTATGCCCTCACCTAATCTTTACTCCTGGGTAGACATGGCCTGTTGCCTAGGCAAATGGTGGCTGGTGGGCCTTCCTACCCAGCAAGCAGGGACTGTTGACTAGGACCAGGATGGCTTTGGAATCCCTGGCCCCTTGGTGATGGGCCACAGATGCCCAGGTGTCAGGGGGAGGGAGGCTGACCCCACATCAGTGGATGGGTGGTCAGATGGCAGGGGGTGCTGCTGTAACATGTTGGCGGCCACCGCCACTGCCATCTAAAATCCAGTTCATGTACGGGCTCTCTGATACCTTAGCTTTCTTGGTTCAGTGACGGGGTGCCCAACCTGCCCAGCAGTCTGGGGGTGGTGATGGCTCCTCACAGCCTGCTTCACACACCACGGAAGGGGCAGATCCGCCCTAGCAGCACCATGAGCCACCACAGTGGCCTCATGAAACGGCACCTGATTCCTCCTCTAATTTGAGTCCTGATGCTTCACCTGAGTGACAGCCAAACACAGAGAAACAGTGGAGAAAATGGTCAGGGAAGATCATATAATAAGAAGGATACCAGTAGCACATCCTGAAGTAAGTCATTGTCTGGTGAGGTTGAGGGGGTTGACTACTGGCTCAGTTGCACAGGAGCCCCTGATATTTTGACAAGGCTATGCCTATGCGGTGTTTGATCTTGTGCATGGCCTTTGGGTCTTCAAAGCCGTTTAAACCGATTACACCTCCTGTCTTCTTTCTTGTGTTTCTGGTCTGTGTAACAATAAAGAGTTGTCCACATTTTGGCTTAACAGATGAGGAAAAGGATACTGTATATTTTTTGCTACTGGGCTTCTCAGAATTTCTGAAGCTCCATACGGAGAAGTTAGTCAAACTTACTCATGTACACCAACACTCATAATTTAGCAGATGCTTTCGTGTTGTATGTAATGAGTGAAGACACTACCTGTTGCTACTGAGCCTCTTTCATGGTGATGATATAGCTGACAAGTACTTTTAACTTTACAGTTTTGTTTGGTGTGTAAAAAGAAAATAACACTGTCTCTGCAGAAACCAACAGTTTATTGAGCTCCTCCTAGTGGGTTGAGGAGTAAACTACAGGAATTCCTCATCACCTGAAAATATTATCAATAGCGGCAATCAAGATCACTGAACTTGTCAGGAAAGGGGAAAAAAGAGCCAGAACATCTTCACATCTCTAAAAGACATGTATCCATTTCATTAATCATTGCAAGGGTACAAATACAGCAAAGATATTTACAGTAGTATTGTGTTACATATACATAGTATTAAATCTTATGTTGGACATTACCTGAGATGGCTCTCAAATTGATTTAAGTTCCTTCAGGTTGTTTATGGGTGAATGAGATATTTAAGGAGTATTTTACATTGCAATTGCCTGGTGATGTTTTTCTCCTAGAGCAGGAATTGGAGTTCGAGTTTCCGGAGTCCTAGTCTGACAATCTATCCAACACACCCCACTAGCTCTTCAACATTTTAAAAAAACAAACCCACACTTCAATGTTTGAATTAAAAAGATTTGTTACGTATAACAACAATACAACATAATCATTAGCAGTTGAATAAATGTGTCTTTGATTGTTAGAGCCAGCAAACAAAGGTCTCTGTGTTTGTTTATTAAAAGTGTTGACATCATTCAATTAAATGTGCTTCTTCTGTTAAAACAAGTACACTAACATTTTACTCTTCAGGTAGGCTTTCCTTTAAATGAATGGTTGACCAAGGTGATTCTTTAAAAGGACAATTTTTTTCTGTTGTTTTACTTGAGCTTTTAATATTCCTCTTTTTTGTGTTTTAATATGATATCTGTTTAATGCTTATTTAATATTGTAATTGTTCATAATTTAGCTTTTAATTTTGTTTTTTTATATACTCTAAGCCTCCTTGAATCCTTTAGGAGAAAGGCGGCATATAAACAAACGAGCAAACAAAAGAACCACAGCCACAATCTGTGTTGGTGTGTGTGGACTGTGGTTCCTTTGGAAGGTCGGTGACTTCATGTATTACTCCCATCCAGTCATAAGTGGCTGGTGAATTGGTTAGTGACACCAACTCAGAAAGGAGCATTGCCCGTCCAGCCCGGAGCGATAAGGCTTGAAGCAGGAGATGGGTTAAACATGGGCAACACTTTATTGAACATTAACACATTAGCACAAAATTCCCCTTTCAAAAGGGGTCTTAATGTAGGGCCGAGTCATGCTGTGTGCCTGGGGCTGGTCTTGCCCCAGACACAGGCCTTAACTGTTGAGTTCTGTTAAACCTGTGTGTGGACTGTGGTTCCTTTGGAAGGTCGGTGACTTCATGTATTACTCCCATCCAGTCATAAGTGGCTGGTGAATTGGTTAGTGACACCAACTCAGAAAGGAGCATTGCCCGTCCAGCCCGGAGCGATAAGGCTCAAAGCAGGAGATGGGTTAAACATGGGCCACACTTTATTGAACGTTAACACATTAGCACAAAATTCCCCTTTCAAAAGGGGTCTTAATGTAGGGCCGAGTCATGCTGTGTGCCTGGGGTGGTCTTGCCCCAGACACAGGCCTTAACTGTTGAGTTCTGGTAAACCCTGGAAGCCCCCCAAGGACGCAGCCCGGAGCCCCAAGACAATCCGTGCGCCAGGGGACCCCCCCCTCCTCCCCGTTCCAGCACAGAAACCATCAAGCATTCAGTGCTGTGACATGGGAAGGCTTACACCCCTTTTGGGTGCCTGCTTAAGCTCACCTTCAAACTCATGACTTCTGCCACTAGTACTACCCACCACTATCCACCATACTGTGGCATGGGATGTCCAGGTGTGCCACCATGGACCCAAGGCCAGCTTTGACCACTCTAGCAACCTCATAGTTGACACCACAATCTGTCAATGTGCCTTGGGTCACAATCAACCCTCTAGACTCACCATGGTGACATTGCTGACCACACAATATGCAGTGCAAGGAACTAGGCTGCTAAGGCCTGCAGATCTGTGGTCACCTGCAATATAAGGGACTTGCCTTTTCACATAGCCAAATCACTCCCACCTAGGTGCAAAACAACAACCATATTTTCCATGTATAAGATACCCGCATGTATAAGACACCCTTCCTTTCTAACCCCAAATTAAGAAATCAATATTTTAAACATAAAACAGAATATTTTATTTGGTAATTAGGTAATATTTACATACCAGTATTGTCACTGTTGCAGTAAGGTGTGTTCCAATTGGTTTGTTCAGCATCAGCTGACATCAGTTACATAAGGCTCATGACTGGAGGAAGCTAAGCCTCAGTGATTGAAGGAAGCCTGTTTGCAGAGGCAAGGTATGGGCTGTTTTGTTCTCTCCTCAGCTTACTTCTGTATATAAGATGACCCTCAATTTTTAATCTAAAGATTTTAGACAAAAGTGTCTTATACACAGAAAAAAAACAGTATCTCAAAAGGCATCTCTGTGCACCACTGAATGAACAGGTCCATGAAGCCATTCCTTAAAATACCTCTCTGGCCTCTCACTCCAACGTTGCCTAGGCGCCCAGGCCCAGGTTCTGCCCCTAACTGGAACAACATGCAAACTATGGCTGCCCAGAACATGAAACTGTGGCCAATGAATAAAACCTGGATCCTGCCCAATGGGAGCTCCAGACCTGAAAAACACAATGGGGAACAAGCCAGCATGAGGAACTGCAGCAGGGTGTGCACGTATGTGCGATATCTGTGGGAAGCCCATCTCTCCACCTTCCTGATCACTCTGCGTAGCCCTTTGTAGCAGCCCCTATCCAAAAAGAGCAGGCCCAAACTTCCATCCCTTAACCCCAGCCTTCTGAAGTGCTTGGGAAATCACCCTCAAAATGATATTTATTTAAAGGAGTCCTGTCACTATGGCAAAACAACTCACCTTCTCAGTCACCCCTCTGTGCCAGGAGCTTGTACATAAGTTGAACAGGGCACAATTCTGGTATGGAACACTTTCCCAACTTGATACTGCAACCTTCCCCTTGTTGGTCGGTTTTTTAACTTCTCGGATGAATGATGATTTGGTCTTCGAAGACCACTCTGTCAGACCTCTGCAAGGCTGCCCAGGGACGATCAGTCCTCAATGCTGCGACTAGCTTGCTTATCCTAAATGCTCCAAAAAATGCAACTAAAGAAGCCACCTTAAATAGACATGCCTCAAATGTACAAACCTTGGACTAGACAGTTGATAATTGCTGCCACATAGCTGGCAATATGGGGTTTCTCATGTCCCTTTCCCCACCCTTTTCCTTATCCCCAGCCTTCCATCTTTTTTTTAATATGGAAATCAGTGGTGAAATCTGGGAATACTTGCATTTTATGTCAAGGCTGCCCATTTTACCCATAATGGACTTGGCTGCTAGATGCCTGCAATGTACCGTGTTTCCCCGAAAATAAGACAGGGTCCTATATTAATTTTTGCTCCAAAAATGCATTAGGGCTTATTTTCAGGGGATGTTTTATATTTTTCATGTACAGCAATCTACATTTATTCAAATACAGTCGTCATCTTCTGGTTGCCGCACAGTGGTGGAGGGCGGGGTTTCACTTTAACTGGGGCTTATTTTTGGGCTAGGGCTTATATTACGAGCATCCTGAAAAATCATATTAGTGCTTATTTTCAGGTTAGGTCTTATTTTTGGGGAAATGGGGTAGGTGAACTCCAAATTGTGGGAGATGTTCCACCGGGGCAGGCCTGTCCTGACTCAACCCTTCCATACCGTGAAAAAAGAAAACGTCTTCACATGCCACTGCATATGCACTTCGTGTGCTAGGAGCAACTGCCAAGGCTATAGCTTGGTTCACTCCCTCTCTCCAATGTCTCAATTCATCCAGCTTGCAGGCTTCAGTTTCCCTACTGGACCTACACACACACCCCAGTGGATTGCCATGCCTGCCAGACCAAAGCCCCACTCCCTTCCCTGTCTATTCACTTCCAGAGTGGGCCCTGGAATACGGTTCCTGGGGCTGTTCGGTAGCTTGATGCGTTGGTTCCTTCTAATTTGATGAGAGGGGTAAATTTTGTCATGCTGTGCTACTTGGAATTTGCCATTCTGAGCTGCTTTACACAATGTTGATTTCCTACCTTTAATGGCTATCAGAATGTGTTTTCTAAGGATGTTCTGTGGCTTGCTGCATCACTCAGTGCTGATCTAATGGGAGAGATGAATTTCACTGTTTTGTGCAATATGGATTTTCTGCCCAGAATGGGTACAGTGGACCCTCGACTTACAGACGGCTCGACTTACAGACTTTTCGAGTTACAGACTTCTCTGGCCGCAAAATTTAGATTCGACTTGCAGATGGAGAATCGACTTACAGACCAGAAAAAAAACAAAATGGAACAAAAATAGAATAAAAACTGCCAGTTATGGGATTAATTGGTTTTCAATGCATTGTAGGTCAATGGAGATTCGACCTACAGACTTTTCAACTTGCAGCCACCGTTCCAATACGGATTAATTCCGTAAGTAGAGGGTCCACTGTACAGGAAGATAGTCCTAGGGGCTGTTTTGTGGCTTGCCCCTCAAGTCTGGTGGGATGAGTAAATTTCATTGGGTTTTTCTTTCAGAAATCACCATTCTGGGTTGTATGTTTCGCAATACTGATTTTCTGCCTGGAATGGATAGCAGCATATTGTTCCTGAGGAAGCTCTGTGGCTTGCTGCATCAATCTAGTCACATTTGTGTCATAACAATCTTATCTTATAAATGCAGGGCTGGAAGGACCCTATGGATCATCAAGTCCAGCCCTTGTCAAGGAGGCTCAGTGGAGAATCAAACTCACAACTCTCAAATAAGCACAGCAGCCAGATACCTAAACCACTGAGCTAATTAGTAGTCATGAATTTGGTTGTTTTATCCTTCTCAGAAATTGCCATTCCAGACCATGGTGCCCTGGTTTGGGGGCAATACATGGTTACTGAAAGCAAGCTTTCTTGTCTAAAATATTGTTCTGATGCATGTCCATCACGTTATGCTAGTTTTGGCATCGATATTTATGAAGTGCCATTTCCATTCCGGCCTTTACCTGTCCCTTCATTTCAAATCTAAAAATTCTATTTTCCCTCATTCATGTTGTACTGTACTTGCAAACAGAGCACAATACATAGTGTCATGGTTAATTTGAGTACCTAATTTCAAATGTGTCTATGGTTATAAGTTGGTAGTTTTCATTGATTTCTGCAGGAACTTTTATATGTAAGATCCTGCAAATACTGGAAGTCCTTGAATTCTACATATTGTGGCTCCCTAGAAATTGGTCATATTGCTGATGTAAGAAGACTTTTGACAGAAGGGTTTGTTTTTCTTCTGTGTGAGCAGAGGAGAATTTTGCCCTTCAGAAGTAATCTAAAGAGGGTGAACCATCTGGCCATCATTAGCATGAATTGAAAAGAGTGAAGAAATGTAACAATTACTGTAGCAGAAACTCCTAATTAAGGGAGGGGAGACTTTCCACAAAAGATGGGCTTT